TATCTACAGATTCAACACATACCTCGGTATCACACGGCATCTGGATCCCCGTTTTGGGAGGTATATACACTGGCTGCCTTTGAAGAAACTATGGGCAGCAGCAATCTACTGTAGTGTTTGGTCACTTGGCAATAACACCAACAATCGTGTCGAATGTTTGCACAGATTGATGAAACGGAATTTGTCGAGAGGTATTACTATACACAAGTATATGTGGGAGGTGTACCGGTGGAGTGACAGGAGGTTGCAAAGGAAGCATGGTGAACGAGGATAACTACTTTGCAACCCTTAATGTCGAAATTAACAGAATACGCCGGAAGAAAGGTTGTTGTAGATTTTAAAAGAGTAAGAGGGGCCCGCATTGACAACGTTTTTTCGTCGATCGATTCACACATCCGAAAGTTGATATGGCAAAAGGTACATGTACTTGCAGAGTGTTCACCACCCGTAGGTATCCTTGTCGTCATATGGTGATTGCTCATCTGACTTATCCCCATTTTGAAGGTAAGTGAGAGGTACAGTAATCTTACATTACAGTTGATCGTGTTATGAAGAATTGTTGGCGATGGATGTTTGCTACCCGCAATCCACTACCCATGTTAACTGCTGGAGCGGTGATATAAAAACAGTGACGTTGAAAACTATCAGAATTTGAAGCGAAAGTTTTGTAAATATCTTGACGGATACGTAAATGCAGGTTATGTAAAAGACGCATCTACCTTTTTATTGTCTTCGTATAGCCAGTTAAAGGAATGAAAGGAGAATATGTGGAACCTCACTGAGAACATGGAATGGCCCTCTTTAGGGCCACCAAATATTGATTTCTTTGACTTCATCGGTTTTACTTTAAAGTATGTGATTGGGTAGGTAGGGTAATTGTTTCACGCAGAAGCGATATCCAACCATTACGTGCCCATAGTTACCTTCAGCGCCAACTATCTTAAAGTAGCTACGTAGTTTTAGATAATCCGTTATAGGAGTCAGCAGTTTTCGTTGATTATAGCTAAATGAACAACTGATTAGATTATAGTTCTTAAGTATTTCATAAGGTAGACTAATAAGTAGCGAATTCCACGAAATTATATTCAGTGGATTTACTTGCAGATTAATTTCATATTAATAACGCTTATTTTTAAGGAAGAAATTGATCCACAATTTAAGTAATGCTTGTGAAGATGGTTTGCAAATGAATCTGTTGTGGAGATAGGTATATATCATTTCACCAAGAAAGTCATCTGGATGTCCACTCTTATTTTGTGATTCAGAGATAACGTTAAGTTGCTCGCTAAGGTAGCAGAGCAGCTACAGGAGATTACCTTCAGAGGAAAGTAGTTTACGGTAGCTACGTAGCTTTAAGTAAAGCGTCATAGAACTAACCAGAGTACGTTGGTTATGATTAATTATATTAAACCCCGTGTAACTGGCAAATTCATGGTTCTGACATACCTTACTAGGTAGTTTTATAAGTAATGAATGTACAGTGTACGTGTTTACTTCCCTTTGCATACCTATCTCATGAAAATTATGCTTACATGTTGCGTATATTTAAGGCTGATACACTGTAAAATACGTTAACATCATCATTGAGGCAAGAAGAACACGTCAAGCAAGATAAAGTGGACTGATTAGAGTTTCTTATTTCTAATTAGATGCATAAAACCATGAGTAGTTTAATATCCACATATTAGACATTCAAATGCTGCCAACTCTAAGTTACTACATTTACTTGTACAGACGCAAATTCCTATGAATGACAAAAGTTACAGTTTCATAATACTACAGTGAATCTCCATTCCACTAACTAAGCTTGACACACATTAATCCGAATTCCCATATTACAAAAGCTCATAGTATAGCGACGCACCGAAGTTCAGAAGAAGTAGAAATTAAGAGTATATTAAACATTTAATTACTTTACATATGAAAATACTGATGACGGGTATAAGCGTTAGTTTCACCGATTGACATTTCCACTGATTTCATATTCGATAACCTCCATATACCTAAAAAATTAAAGCACAATATGCAGTTATGAATGATTATTTTACATATTAATATAGAGTGGATACATTGATTCTAATAATACTAAGTAAATTCCCATGCAAATAAAAGTATTGGTAGTCCACAGCTGGTTTTTTATGTTGACGCCGTATACATGAATAGACCTCATATGCTTTCCGGTATTAGAGGATTATACGCAAATTTCAGGACATTCTCCGAAACATCCATACTGTTGAGAAGTCATTTTTTCATTAATTTCACAATAAATACGTATACATTAAATGGACGATTGCGAGGGGAAAACTTAGAAATTAATCCACAATCTCAGTAATGTCTAGTGAACATGGTTTTGTGGATCCTGCAGAAATTACATCCTCATATTCACGAAACTATAGCCATCAAATATAAACTGAACATGCCTCAACTCTAAACAGCTATGCACAGTGTTGACAGCATGGAGAAACACTTAAAATATTCAGAGATACACAGACCCTTTGTGTTGATGAGGATAACAATGCCATATAATACAACCTAGACATTCAATCGTGATACTGCTTCGTATGAGTGGAAATCTCAGGAGAAATTCATCCCCACTATTGGTAATCAAAAATATTGCAGCGTTAAGTATACAGTGTCAGCGGGAATGGCATAACAGACAGTAGATTGATAATGATAGAGCTGACTAGATTCAGTTCCCATAATCAACACAATACATATGTATAATGATACTATACACTGAATTAATGCACTAAGTGAAACAGTGAGGAAAATTAAACGAGTAATTGCCTTCTCCACTGCACTACACTTGCAGCAATCACGACAACCACCTACATTTGTAAGCCTAGCAGTCAGCTAAGCAGACAATGGCACAATATTAATAAAGTTGAGATATTTTTATACATTGAATCCACACAACCCATATTACACTGCACCAATCAGTGCAAATATATGTTAAATTCACCTAGAGATAATCATTCAACTTACGATAATTCCTGTCCAAACACGCGTACAGTAGGACACATCTACATGATAACTTCTGTTCCCACAGAAGGTTCTGTTAGCATTTATAAGTGATTTCCATGTACTGATAGCATTCCTTTTGTCAAATAGTACTGTTCTTCACACGAAATTAGGCCGCATTGATATCCATGCTGAAAATGTCATACTTGTACTGAAAATACTGTGTGGCATCAACCTGTAAACAAAAATAAAATAAAAATAAAAATCCTGAGACGTGAAGTCTTCATTGAATGATACTATGCCGAAAGCTGCAGCTTCTACATAAAGTAGACTATTTGTGTAGACGACATTACCCTCCGACTATCCCATTATGCTCATTATAGCGATATTTTGACACAGTCCACCTGAAACACTAATCATTGCAACCAATATGCAGTCAAATCTCATGTCGCGGACAACAATATAACTTGTTAGAAAATAAAAACTTCTATCAATCCAGAAAACATAAAACACAATTTTATTAAAACGTATCCACAAAAATTTTACCAAGCAAAATTTCAACCTACATGCCGGATAAGTCCAGCCTCCACTATTGTTTATTCGTATCCCTTTGTTCTGTGCTACATATTCAAGCACTGTTTGAATTAAATGTGTGTCAGGCATAGTAATTTCGGTGTTTCCCTCTCACCTAGTTGTAGAATTATTCGTTGTAAATATATCCCTTGACCTTGGGTCTTCATTCCTACTAGCACACGACACTTGTGTGATCACCCTGCTTACGTGCGCTTTGCTCTCAGTTTCAGGTTATTGCTTGACGGTTGGGATTGCAGGTGGTTAGCCCTCGACAAAAGTTGTGTTTTAACTTATTGACGCACGTTGACTGTGGCACCTGACGGCATTCAGCCTCAGGAACCTCAAAACTGAGGTTTTTATATAACATTTCATTTCTTATGTTCAATGTAGTGTCGTATTTCATAGGAATCCTGTGTTTTTGGTTATTTAAAGCGTCACAACGTGTGCTTTTAATAATAGTAACACCTCAGTGAAAGAAATTCGCAATCACTCTATGTCATTTCTAAATTGTTTCGCTTATGTCCATATATGGGGTCACGTTATTCTTCCCATCTAGATATAGTCTCAAGCACGAATTCAACATTGTTATGTATCTTTCACTGTGCAACATGTTTGTTTTTCATGTGGTAATTTCATTTTTCACTATAGAATTTTATGAGATAACTGATGTCCCAGAATCCCGTTGTCGTGTTTTATTGAAAACTAACGAGTTTTGGCTTCACATTCTAAACGTGGGTTGTGATGATTCAATAAGTGCCACTGCGGTTCAGAATTCTTTGCCGGGTAGTACACACCCAAACGATGAATCACAATCGGTATGTGCATCAGTCAGTAGCTCTTATGTTGGTGGTCTTCGTGATGAGAATTTTCAGGCAAAAGAAGATTTCCAAATGAAGTCCACTTCGCCAGAACACCAGTGTGAAATAGATTCGTCTCCTGGAGCAATTGAAAGAAATGCAGATTCACCTGTGTTGAGTACCCAGTCATCCTTATTCTGTGATGTCTGTCAAGTACCATTTACATCGATTAAAAATAAAGAAGAGCATGAGAATGGTAAAATGCATAAAAAGCAAATTGTGTTGAAGTCAAAATGGAGTGGTCATTTGAGTATGAGTCAATCATTGAGCATTACTGGTGACATACAAGAAGGTTCGTCGAAGAATCACATTCACTGGTCACCAGGAACACAGAGTTTTATGAACACCAATTCAACTGCCGACGAAACTGTCGATTCCCAGCCCCAACCCACAATGCGAAATACTGATGAAGGGGAAATCACCGTCGTCTATGTCGATTGTGCCTGACGGAAATATTAATCCTACTTCATGATCTGAATGGTAATCCACATATTAGTTCAAGAAAATGGTTCATCTGAAACATTACCCACATGCAATATAAATGAATTGACAGGTATTCACTTAATTGCATGTGGGTAATGTTTCAGATGAACCATTTTCTTGAACTAATATGTGGATTACCATTCAGATCATGAAGTAGGATTAATATTTCCGTCAGGCACAATCGACATAGACGACGGTGATTTCCCCTTCATCAGTATTTCGCATTGTGGGTTGGGGCTGGGAATCGACAGTTTCGTCGGCAGTTGAATTGGTGTTCATAAAACTCTGTGTTCCTGGTGACCAGTGAATGTGATTCTTCGACGAACCTTCTTGTATGTCACCAGTAATGCTCAATGATTGACTCATACTCAAATGACCACTCCATTTTGACTTCAACACAATTTGCTTTTTATGCATTTTACCATTCTCATGCTCTTCTTTATTTTTAATCGATGTAAATGGTACTTGACAGACATCACAGAATAAGGATGACTGGGTACTCAACACAGGTGAATCTGCATTTCTTTCAATTGCTCCAGGAGACGAATCTATTTCACACTGGTGTTCTGGCGAAGTGGACTTCATTTGGAAATCTTCTTTTGCCTGAAAATTCTCATCACGAAGACCACCAACATAAGAGCTACTGACTGATGCACATACCGATTGTGATTCATCGTTTGGGTGTGTACTACCCGGCAAAGAATTCTGAACCGCAGTGGCACTTATTGAATCATCACAACCCACGTTTAGAATGTGAAGCCAAAACTCGTTAGTTTTCAATAAAACACGACAACGGGATTCTGGGACATCAGTTATCTCATAAAATTCTATAGTGAAAAATGAAATTACCACATGAAAAACAAACATGTTGCACAGTGAAAGATACATAACAATGTTGAATTCGTGCTTGAGACTATATCTAGATGGGAAGAATAACGTGACCCCATATATGGACATAAGCGAAACAATTTAGAAATGACATAGAGTGATTGCGAATTTCTTTCACTGAGGTGTTACTATTATTAAAAGCACACGTTGTGACGCTTTAAATAACCAAAAACACAGGATTCCTATGAAATACGACACTACATTGAACATAAGAAATGAAATGTTATATAAAAACCTCAGTTTTGAGGTTCCTGAGGCTGAATGCCGTCAGGTGCCACAGTCAACGTGCGTCAATAAGTTAAAACACAACTTTTGTCGAGGGCTAACCACCTGCAATCCCAACCGTCAAGCAATAACCTGAAACTGAGAGCAAAGCGCACGTAAGCAGGGTGATCACACAAGTGTCGTGTGCTAGTAGGAATGAAGACCCAAGGTCAAGGGATATATTTACAACGAATAATTCTACAACTAGGTGAGAGGGAAACACCGAAATTACTATGCCTGACACACATTTAATTCAAACAGTGCTTGAATATGTAGCACAGAACAAAGGGATACGAATAAACAATAGTGGAGGCTGGACTTATCCGGCATGTAGGTTGAAATTTTGCTTGGTAAAATTTTTGTGGATACGTTTTAATAAAATTGTGTTTTATGTTTTCTGGATTGATAGAAGTTTTTATTTTCTAACAAGTTATATTGTTGTCCGCGACATGAGATTTGACTGCATATTGGTTGCAATGATTAGTGTTTCAGGTGGACTGTGTCAAAATATCGCTATAATGAGCATAATGGGATAGTCGGAGGGTAATGTCGTCTACACAAATAGTCTACTTTATGTAGAAGCTGCAGCTTTCGGCATAGTATCATTCAATGAAGACTTCACGTCTCAGGATTTTTATTTTTATTTTATTTTTGTTTACAGGTTGATGCCACACAGTATTTTCAGTACAAGTATGACATTTTCAGCATGGATATCAATGCGGCCTAATTTCGTGTGAAGAACAGTACTATTTGACAAAAGGAATGCTATCAGTACATGGAAATCACTTATAAATGCTAACAGAACCTTCTGTGGGAACAGAAGTTATCATGTAGATGTGTCCTACTGTACGCGTGTTTGGACAGGAATTATCGTAAGTTGAATGATTATCTCTAGGTGAATTTAACATATATTTGCACTGATTGGTGCAGTGTAATATGGGTTGTGTGGATTCAATGTATAAAAATATCTCAACTTTATTAATATTGTGCCATTGTCTGCTTAGCTGACTGCTAGGCTTACAAATGTAGGTGGTTGTCGTGATTGCTGCAAGTGTAGTGCAGTGGAGAAGGCAATTACTCGTTTAATTTTCCTCACTGTTTCACTTAGTGCATTAATTCAGTGTATAGTATCATTATACATATGTATTGTGTTGATTATGGGAACTGAATCTAGTCAGCTCTATCATTATCAATCTACTGTCTGTTATGCCATTCCCGCTGACACTGTATACTTAACGCTGCAATATTTTTGATTACCAATAGTGGGGATGAATTTCTCCTGAGATTTCCACTCATACGAAGCAGTATCACGATTGAATGTCTAGGTTGTATTATATGGCATTGTTATCCTCATCAACACAAAGGGTCTGTGTATCTCTGAATATTTTAAGTGTTTCTCCATGCTGTCAACACTGTGCATAGCTGTTTAGAGTTGAGGCATGTTCAGTTTATATTTGATGGCTATAGTTTCGTGAATATGAGGATGTAATTTCTGCAGGATCCACAAAACCATGTTCACTAGACATTACTGAGATTGTGGATTAATTTCTAAGTTTTCCCCTCGCAATCGTCCATTTAATGTATACGTATTTATTGTGAAATTGATGAAAAAATGACTTCTCAACAGTATGGATGTTTCGGAGAATGTCCTGAAATTTGCGTATAATCCTCTAATACCGGAAAGCATATGAGGTCTATTCATGTATACGGCGTCAACATAAAAAACCAGCTGTGGACTACCAATACTTTTATTTGCATGGGAATTTACTTAGTATTATTAGAATCAATGTATCCACTCTATATTAATATGTAAAATAATCATTTATAACTGCATATTGTGCTTTATTTTTTTTAGGTATATGGAGGTTATCGAATATGAAATCAGTGGAAATGTCAATCGGTGAAACTAACGCTTATACCCGTCATCAGTATTTTCATATGTAAAGTAATTAAATGTTTAATATACTCTTAATTTCTACTTCTTCTGAACTTCGGTGCGTCGCTATACTATGAGCTTTTGTAATATGGAAATTCGGATTAATGTGTGTCAAGCTTAGTTAGTGGAATGGAGATTCACTGTAGTATTATGAAACTGTAACTTTTGTCATTCATAGGAATTTGCGTCTGTACAAGTAAATGTAGTAACTTAGAGTTGGCAGCATTTGAATGTCTAATATGTGGATATTAAACTACTCATGGTTTTATGCATCTAATTAGAAATAAGAAACTCTAATCAGTCCACTTTATCTTGCTTGACGTGTTCTTCTTGCCTCAATGATGATGTTAACGTATTTTACAGTGTATCAGCCTTAAATATACGCAACATGTAAGCATAATTTTCATGAGATAGGTATGCAAAGGGAAGTAAACACGTACACTGTACATTCATTACTTATAAAACTACCTAGTAAGGTATGTCAGAACCATGAATTTGCCAGTTACACGGGGTTTAATATAATTAATCATAACCAACGTACTCTGGTTAGTTCTATGACGCTTTACTTAAAGCTACGTAGCTACCGTAAACTACTTTCCTCTGAAGGTAATCTCCTGTAGCTGCTCTGCTACCTTAGCGAGCAACTTAACGTTATCTCTGAATCACAAAATAAGAGTGGACATCCAGATGACTTTCTTGGTGAAATGATATATACCTATCTCCACAACAGATTCATTTGCAAACCATCTTCACAAGCATTACTTAAATTGTGGATCAATTTCTTCCTTAAAAATAAGCGTTATTAATATGAAATTAATCTGCAAGTAAATCCACTGAATATAATTTCGTGGAATTCGCTACTTATTAGTCTACCTTATGAAATACTTAAGAACTATAATCTAATCAGTTGTTCATTCAGCTATAATCAACGAAAACTGCTGACTCCTATAACGGATTATCTAAAACTACGTAGCTACTTTAAGATAGTTGGTGCTGAAGGTAACTATGGGCACGTAATGGTTGGATATCGCTTCTGCGTGAAACAATTACCCTACCTACCCAATCACATACTTTAAAGTAAAACCGATGAAGTCAAAGAAATCAATATTTGGTGGCCCTAAAGAGGGCCATTCCATGTTTATTTAACCGTAAATCATGTGATTCAAATATGTAACTTAAATAATACTTATGCATGCCTATACAACTTGTGTGTCCTACATTTGTAGGAATAAATATGCACCTTATATTATCATTACTAAGTATACTTACTAATGGTATGTTTAATTTATCTAATTGATGATGCTTATACACTGGCGTCCCTCATGTACAAGATGAGAATATATTATTATTATTTTTATATTCTGGAAGTTCATTTTGGCTCCTCACAAGTACTATCTAGTATTTGATGCATGTTTTGGATAGTGAGAGGAGGTCTGCTGTCCGTAAAATAATTGATAAGTGCATAGAATGTAAACTAAGGAATGCTCGCTCAGCACAGCAGATGATGGCATCACTTTCAGCGTGGCAAGTATCTGAAGTGGATTATCCATTCGAGTATGTCGGAGTGGATTTGTTCGGACCTTTTGTAGTGAAGAAAGGCAGAACCCTATACAAAAGATATGGCTGTTTATTCACCTGTTTGAAAATGAAAGCTATGCATATTGGGATGTTTCATACGTAAACTACTGATTCATTCGTTCTAGCACTACTTAGATTGATAAGTCGCCGAGGTACACTGAAGATGATGTTCAGCAACAGGGGAACTAATTTTGTCGGCTTTCACGCCGAGCTTTAAGAGTATTTCGAAGGTCCTCAAACGAGAGTTCATGAAGAGTTAATGAAAAGAAACATCGAGTGGCACTTCATCCCACCACATGCCAGCCACAGAGGTAGGCTATGGGAAAGACTTATAGGAATTATTAAGCGTATTTTAAGCTCCGTAATTGAACACCAAAGTTTGAATGACGAAACGTTGGAGACATTTTTATTTGAGGCTGAACGAATACTAAATGACCGGCTGCTATTACCTGTGAGGGATGACGTCAAGGATTTTGATGTGTTGTCTCCAAATAAATTATTGTTATTGAGAGGTAACCCATGCATAGGGGACTTGGGCGCGGAACGAATACCTGCGATTAAAAGATGGCAACAAGCCAGGTACATGAAAGATATATTTTGGAAAAGATGGTTAAAAGAGGATGTTCAAACACTGCAAACAAGAGACAAATGGAAAAAGTTGTGCGGAAACTTAAAGGTCGGTGATATAGTCTTAGTAGCAGATAAGTGTGCCACAGGTAGATGGCCTTTGGGAGTGGTAGAGAGGGTACTCTGTAGTGGTGATGGGTTGGTGAGGACGGACGAGGTGAGAACAAGTTGTGGCATGTTGGTGCGAGATATTAGGAAATTGTGTCTGCTGGAGGATACTGAGAGTCGAGAGTCAGAGGATGGACCACTTGACGATTTTCCAACTTAGTATTGTCAACCTGAGAGGAGTTGCAGGCGTACTGGTGTAAGTCCTGCGATTCTTCAAAGGAATTACTTCAAGACATGGTCTGCGATATTATATGTACTGTTTGCATAAATGCATGGTGTATCGTATCGTTTTTGGATTCACTGTGTTTACTTGTTGTTCTCGTACTTTGTTGTATTGTATAATTTTGTTAAAATTTTCATCGTGCTTGCTTATGAAGTTGATTGATGTTAAAGGCAGCAGATGGGTTGTATACGCCGGGGAGGCTAGTGCTGGGAATGACATGCACACATAGACAGGGATTAGCTGTGGAATCGATGACTGAGAATGAATGTTTCGATTTAGGCTGTGGTCCCACACGCCGGGAAGCGAGAGTGTAGATGACTGAGGCTTGCATACGTCACCGTTACTGAGGCAGAATGAGTGACAATTAATAGCAGTGGTAACTGGCACTGAATAGATAAGAGGGTATGCGAAGGGTATCATAAGGTGCTGTTATGGTCATGTTGATTTCTGCAAGAGTCATTCTAGCAAGTGGTGATTGTGTTGCAAGATGCCAAGAGGATGCCTTTAACTGGAAGGCGTAGGTCGTCGTCGATGAGTGA